TCAGCCGCCTCTCGGCCCGGCACCTCGCCTGGCTCGCCAGCTGCCGCATCCGCTGGCTCTGCCGGCGCGGCGGCAGCACAGGGCTCCCCAGGCGCGGCATCGGCCCGCCCAGGCAGCTCCTCGTCCTCAGCCACCACAACCGCGTCGCCTCCACCCGCCTCGCCCGCCTCGCCCTCGCCAGCAGCCTCCATGCTGGCACTCACAGCTGCACCAGCCGGCTGCCCAGAAGGCGCATCCCTGCTGCTATCATCGCCAGCCACCCCGGGCATCACCGCTGAGCCTGCCTGGTCAGGCTCTGGTGCTGTGGCGCCAGCCCCCACAGCTGCTGCCGCTGGCGCTGGCGCTGCAGCCACTGGGGGCGGCGCATGCAACATGGCCGCTGCAGCAGCTGCTCCAGCCGCCGCTGCGGCTGCTGCCACGCTGCCATGGCGCTTCCGCTTTTTCAGCGTGGGAATGGCTGCCATGGGCAGGAAGAGCAGCGGCTCCCCTGCCAGGCTGCTGCCGGGCGCAAACTGCTGCTGGTAGGCAGGGTGCAGCAGGCCGCACGCTGCCAGCTCGTCCGGCGGTACCTGTACCGCCTGTACTGCCAGCCGATTCTGATTCCACACCACCTGCCGCAGCAGCTCCTCGATGTCTTGGTACGGGATCACAGCAGCGGCACCGTCGCCACCTGGTGCAGCAGCTGCAACGGCCACGCCGTCCTCGCCGTCCTCGCCGCCGCCACCACGCGCCGCCTGGCCGCCCGCCAGCTCAGCATCTGCCGCCACCTCCAGCTCGGCGGCCCGCTCAGCCCACGATGTGCATGGCCTGGCTGGCGGCGGCAAAGGCGTCCTGGGCTGAGGCGTGGGCGCAGCGGTCGGGGTGAACCAGGATGGAGAGCTTGCGGTACACGCGCTTGGCTGCAGCGGTACAGGGCAGAATAGCGGAGCGGAGCTGGATTGTTAGGTATTTTCGGGTTGGGTCCCGGGACCAGGGAGCGAGAAGCAGCACAGCACAAGGACGGGATGGGCGCTGGGGCAGGCCTGGGGGCCCGCTGCTGCCAGCGCACCTGCTCCCAGCGTGCGCTGCGCCTTCTCAGCAGACAGAGTGGCCTCCAGGCCCAGAATGCGCAGGCTCAGCTCCGCCAGCCTGCGGGAGGAGGCAGCAAGGACAAGGCGATACAACAGCGTTCGCCAGGCTCTGGCGGAGCCCACGCGTGAAAACACACTCACTCCCAGCACGCCAGATGCTCAAGAGTGCACAGGCAGGGACCGTGAATGGGCGGCCATCCCGGCATCAGGCCTCACCTGAGCTTGAAGGGAGTCGGGTCCGCGCCGGGCCCTTTGCCCTCAGCCACCAGCAGCGCCCGCTGCGCCGCCGCCAGCTCGTGCCCCGCCGCCGCCAGCCGAGCGCACTCGGCGGCGGCGTCAACGGCAGCAGCCGCCGTCGCGGCGGCCGCCACCAGCTCCAGCTCCTCGTCAGCCTCCTCCTCGGCTGCCGCTGCCGCCGCTGCTGCCTCAGGCTGTGCGGCAGGCGCCTCCTGGCCTCCCTCCTCCTCCTCCTCCTCCTCCTCCTCCTCGCCATCGCCTTCCTCATCTGGCACGCCTGCGCCATCCACCGTGCTGCTGTCGCGACCCAGAGCGTCGCCCGCCCTCGTGTCATCCTGGGCATCCGGCGTGCCGCCAGGGCCCGCCGAGGCCGCCGCACCGGAGAGCTGGCCAGGAGGCGCCGCGTGCAGCTGGGGTGGCAGGCCCGCCTGGCTGCTCGGCAGCGCCAGCCCCGGCACCAGCCCCAGGCCCAGCCCCGGCTGCTGCAGCGGCTGCAGGCCCGGCACTGTTGCCGAGGCAAGCTGCGCCAGCAGCTGCCCCACATCGACGCCCGCGCCAGCCAGCTCAGCAAGCGCCGCTGGCAGCGACAGGAGCGGGGCTGCTGGCGGGGAGGCGGCAGCCTTGCCGCCGACAGCCGGCAGCGGCAGAGGCTGCACCTCCTGCTCTGCATCCAGCCCCTGCCCCACATCCAGCCTGCGGGCCACCTGCTCCTCTTCGTCGCTCGCTGCCCTGCTGCCGCTGCTGCCTGCTGCGCCCGCGGCTGATGAAGTCGGCCGCAGGCAAGCTGTGCCAGCCGCGGCCCTCGCGCTGCCTGCATCTGGCGTGTCAGACTCAGGAGATGGCAGCTGCTCTGCAGACACTCCCTCCTCATCCATCTGCTGCCCTGCCTGCCGCTCCTCCAGCTCCTTTTTTCTGTTTTGTTTCTCCTGCTCCTCCCCCGCCTGCGGCTCCTGCTCCTCCTCCACTACCACCACCTCTGCCTCTGCCTCTGCCTCAGCAGCAGACACCTCGCCTGCTTCGCCAGCTGCGGCCGCCTGGCTGCGGCTGGCAGGGGCAGGTGCGCCCGCGGCCTGGCGCCGCGCCTGCCCGAACTCCCCGCCGTCGTCAGCAGCCGCCCGGCCGCCCACAACACACAGACCGGCCTCTGGCGACGGGCTTGCGTCCGACCCAATGCCCTGCTCTTTGCCTGGCCCTGCCTCTGCCTCTGTATCTGGAGGTGCCTCTGCTGGAGCAGCGGCGGCCGGGCGACCTGCCTGGCGCGTGCTGCCACGCCCCAGCTGTGTCTGCGTCTGAGTGGCGGCGCTGTGGCGGGTGCGGCGCCGCACCGCCGCCCCGCGCCGCCCCGCGGGCCGCTTCGAGCGCGAGCGGCGCCTGAGGCGCAGCCGCGAGCTGCAGCAGCTGCTGGCGGAGGCGGATGAGGAGGAGGTGGAGCGGCTGCTTGAGCTGGGCACCAGGGGGGCGGCCGGCGGCGCAGGCGGCCAGCGTGGCGGCGCGGCGCGCGCGGCGCGGCGCCGCACCCGCCACAGCGCCGCCACTCAGACGCAGACACAGCTGGGGCGTGGCAGCACGCGCCAGGCAGGTCGCCCGGCCGCCGCTGCTCCAGCAGAGGCACCTCCAGATACAGAGGCAGAGGCAGGGCCAGGCAAAGAGCAGGGCATTGGGTCGGACGCAAGCCCGTCGCCAGAGGCCGGTCTGTGTGTTGTGGGCGGCCGGGCGGCTGCTGACGACGGCGGGGAGTTCGGGCAGGCGCGGCGCCAGGCCGCGGGCGCACCTGCCCCTGCCAGCCGCAGCCAGGCGGCCGCAGCTGGCGAAGCAGGCGAGGTGTCTGCTGCTGAGGCAGAGGCAGAGGCAGAGGTGGTGGTAGTGGAGGAGGAGCAGGAGCCGCAGGCGGGGGAGGAGCAGGAGAAACAAAACAGAAAAAAGGAA